TCCCCCTCGTTATTCAATGTGCCGGGTTTTGTTCGTTCATAGTTATGTACTTGGTTTGTTATTACTTTTTTCCTTTAATTTTTTTTTTGTCCGCAGGTCACTCCAGCCAGGGGTGCAGATAGGAACTGCAGATCTTCAGCTCTCCCTCGGTTCCTCAGGTTCATCCCCAGTGCAGACCGCACGCTGCAGCCTTCCTTCCCCTCTGCCCTCACCACACAGCTCCTTCCCCTCCTACCTTCCCTCTTTTCACTCATTGCTTAATCCCAACTCTAACAGGCATCCCCCGGGAGCCCGCAGGCCACTCTGGCCAGCTAAGCAGATAGGTTAACTGCAGATCCTCATCTCTCCCTCCACTCCTCCAGGTCCAGGCTCATCCCCAGCTCTGTAGCAGAGCTTCTGCTGTGGCTACGTCTATGCTCAGGGTTCTGGCCTGTGAACATCCTAACATTCCCTGAAGAAAAGTGAGCCTGAGGTGACCACCAGTCCAGTGCCAGGGGGCCCTGGACAGGGAGTTAGCCTGAGACAACCACCTGTTCGGCACCCTGCAGGCCTGGCTGGGCTCCCAGGGCAGGAATCGAGCCAAAGACTAGAAGAACCCCACCTGGGGCCTTGGGCCCCGACGGGAATGAGGTCATGACTGATAACCCTGCCATGAGGCCACTCAGGTGGGCCCAGGCAAGGAGTGAGCCAAGACAATCACCAGATTGGCACCACAGAGCCCGAACAGGGAGATAGCCCGAGATGACCGCCAGTCCTAGAGGGGACAAGAATACTACAAGAAGACCAACAGAGTCAACTAACCTAGGTCCAGGGGTACTCATGGAGACTGAAGCACCAACCAAGGACCATGCATGGACTGGACCTAGGCCCCCTTCACATGTATGATATCAGAAGATGGAAAATCACCCACACTCATGGATTAGTAGGGTTAACAGTAGCTGAAGGGCAGCTTAATCTTCATGTGAGTTCTGTCTCTGACATGGACTCTGTTGCCTGTTTTTTCGATCATTTCCTCCTGGAGGGGCTGCCTTGCCCTGCCTTAGTGGAAGAGGATACTCTCCATCCTGATGCAACTTGATGTGCTGGGGTGGGTTGGTAGGAGATGGCTCTTCTTGTCTGAGGAGTAGGGGAAGGAGGTTGGGGGAAAAGGGAGAGGGGGTGGTCCTGCGAGGAGAGAAGGGAGGGGCTATGATCAGGATGCCAAGTGAACAACAACAAAAAGGCCCAACAGAGCAAGAGAACTACTGACCAATTCTCTAACTGTGTATAAATTCTAAATAAAATACTTGCAAATGGAATCCAAAAACTTATCAAAAAGATCACAACCAAGTAAGCTTCATCCCAGAGATGCAGGGATGGCTCAACACATGTATATCGATAAATGTAATTCATCATATAAACAGTCTGAAGGACAAAACCGCATGTTCATCTTATTAAATGAAGAAAAGGCCTTTGACAAAATCCAACACCCCCTCATGATAAAAGTCCTGGATTGATTAGGGATACAAGGGACACACCTCAATATAATAAAAGGCACTTTATAGCAAGCCCATAGTGAACATCAAATTAAATGAGAGAAACTTAAAACAATTCTGCTAAAATCAGGAACAAGTCAAGTTTGTCCAGTCTCTCTGTATTTACTTAGTACTTAAAGTCTTAGCCAGAGCAATAAGAAAACTGAAGGTGATCAAGGAGTTATAAATTGGAAAGGAAGAAGTCAAATAACCTTATTTGCAGATGATAGGATAGTATACATAGATGATCCTAAAAGAAATCCAGCAGGAAAGTCCTACTGTTGAGAAATTCTTTCAGCAAAGAAGCTGTATTCAAAATTAACTCACACGAATTATTAGCCCTATACCCAAATGACAGACTGGGAAAGAAATTGGAAACAGCACCTTTTATGATAGGTAACTCTAACTAAGCAGGTAAAAAACTTGCATGACAAAAACTTTAAGACATTGAAGAAAGAAACTGAAGATGATATCAGAAGATGGAAAGATCACCCATGCTCATGAATTAGTAGGTTTAACAGTAGAAATGGCCATCTACAAAAGCAATCTACAGATTCAATGCAATCCTATTGAATTTACAACACAATTCTTCACAGGCCTTGAAAGGACTATTTTCAAGGACAGACAGACAGACAGACACACACACACACACACACACACACACACACACACACACACAGGTTAGATAAAACAATCCTGAATAATGAAAGAACTATGAGGGATCACAATCCCCCATTTCCCTTTGTACCTCACAATCCGCCATTTCCCTTTTGTACCACAGAGCTTTCTTAGCCAGGGTTCTATAGCAGTGAAGAGATACCAGGACTGGCAACTCTTATAAAGAAAATAATTTAACTGGGACTTGATTACAGCTTCAGAGGTTTGGTCCAGTGTTGTCAGGTCAGGGAGCATGGCAGCACGCAGGCAGACATGGTATGAAAAAAAATTAAGAGTTCTACATCTGGATCTGCAGGCAGCAGGAAGAGAGAGTGAGCCACTGGGCCTGGCTTAGGCTCTTGAAACCTCAAAGCCCACCCCTAGTGACATATTCCCTCCAACAGGGCCACACCTCCTAATCTCTCCCAAGTAGTGCCATTTCCTGATGACTAAGCATTCAAACATATGGGCCTATGGGGGAGATGGCCGAGAGGGGCAGATCTCTCTGAGTTTAAGGCCAGGCTGGTTTACATAGCAAACTCCAGGCCAAACATACCTATACAGTAAGCTTCTACCTCAAAAATAAAAACAAAGAAACAAGCCATAACCCCCACCATGTAGGGTGATGAATACGTGTGAATTGTGCAGTGTGAAGTTCCAGTAAGAGAAGGGGCTGGGGAAGGAGGAGGAAGCAAAGCCCAGAACTGACAGGAGAGGGCTGCCTGGACCAGCGAGGTTCAGGAACAATGATGTGGCTCAAACAACAAAGAACTTCAGTTATGTGCACTCAGGAGATTCTTCATCATGAGTAATCCTTTGCTTCCCACTCCAAGGGTTCTTGCCTGTGGCCAGACAAGCTGGTTGGGCACAGGTGGTTTAACACCTGTTAGTGGACCTTTCAATTCCTGCTCATTCAAGGCATGAAAGAGGGGATCTTAGTGAAGATGCTGGAGCGGTGCCTTTCTCTTTTCCATAGCCTAAAACTCCCTAAGCTCTGTTGTCACACACGAGGGGTCCTCCAGAGTCACCCTGTGGGCAGAGGAAGGAAGCACTGAGCCTGGTTCCCTCTGGCTCTGCTGCCCCTATATCCTCCTGGCAAGGCTGTCAGGGCCAGGGCAGGCTTTCCAATCTCCCTAAGTGTCAGAGCTCCAGGGAGCCCGGCTTTTCCTTCTAGCTCTGTCCCAGGCTTTGCCTGAAGTCCTCAGGGATGCTCTGGGTAATTCATACACCCTCCACTCTTGCCACACCCACACCAGGGACTAACAGGAGACCTACAGGGCTGTCCCTTCCCTGAGCTGAGGCTTGAGGTGTGGCCATTCTCATGCTAAGTCCTCTCCCAGACTCAACTCTCATTGCATTTTGTCTGTTAAATGCATAAACCCCACCTTGAAAGCAGCCTTTGCTTTCTTCGGGTCTCCAGCACAACTCTGCATGGTATTGGAAGAGGGATGGAAGTGTTCTGTACATTCCTGGTCCTCCTGGATGACCAGTTCAGCCTCTCCTGGGGAGGGTGGGCAGTTCATTGAGTAGCATTGAGGGCCATTAGCCCCCACCAGCCACAGGACACACACATCCTGACTTCACAGGGTCATAGTGGCTGGGCAGGCTGAGGGACCTCACAGCTCTAGTCCTCTTGGCCTTCCTCTCCAGCTGATGGAGAAGAGGCAGGAGAGTCCAGCTCATCTGGGAGTCTGCTGCCCTGAGTTACACTGAAAGCCAAGATAGAAAGGAGGGAAGAAGCAGGATCAGAGCAGGAGGAGTGGGCCAAGAGCACTAGGGAGGTTACAAACAGCAGGGCTGGGGTGGGGGGTGAGGAGTGAGTTGAGGAGTGTGGGTGGGAAGGGCACAGCTCTCACCTTTGACCGCATGATGTCATTGGAGCTGACTTTAGGATTATTGTCAGGGTGGGGAATGGCTTTTGAAACAGGGATCATCTGCTAGGTCTGCTCCCGTGTCATGATGTTGTGGGCCCCCAGCCTGACTATATCATTGAGCTGTGCAGAGAGCAGAGTGGACAGGAGAGATGTGGAGCTCTAGCTGACAGGACTGAGGATGCAGGAGTTTCTTAGCTAGGAACTGAGCTGACTGGGAAGGCCTGCCTTAGGCCTGAGATTTGGGAGATGGGGTACAGGGCTCTAGAGAGAGATACTGACAGTTCTGGGCTCCATGGTCCCTCTGTGATGCCACCTCTGGCCTGGACCTTTGAGAGGCCCCTCTCTGAAAGGGTGTGAGTTGGGCTGGCACCACAGTGATGAGGCCCTAATGGACAGAACCACATGCTGCTTTGGTTGTCCTAGGTAGGAGGAAAAGCGGCAGGAATGTGCTCAGCCCTGCATGGTCTAGAAAGCTCAGAGGTGCCAGACTCATCTGAGTAGGGAATTGTTTCTAGAGGGGGATGGGGAAACTACTGCTAGATGAGAAACAGGTTTGACTGAAAGAGCTGTCCCCTTAAGGGAAGCCTTGGTGAAGCCTTGGGAGAGAGATAGCCTGCCCAGGAAGGACCATCTCCATGTGATGTCAGCTCTGTGTTTTGTGACTCCAGGATAATGGTGTTTCCCCCCTCATTTCTGCCATAAGACACAGAGGAGGTGACAGTTCACCCTGAACTCCAAGCAAGAGACCCCCAACATTTCTCCTGATGGTGCTTGGCTTTAGGTCTGTGAGAACAGCAGGCACTGAGGAGAATGGGACAAGCAAAAATGAGCTGGGTTTCAGAGATATGTGTGTATGGGGTGAGCAGAAGAAGTGTGCCATTGGGCTTGCTAGCATAGCGCTGGCCCCTGTGGATGGACATGAAACAAGTCAAGTATTTTCATCTGCAAAGACATTTATTAAGTTGCTGGCATCTGGCCTAGAGCAATCCAGGACTCAACTGTAGGGAAGATGGCTAGGCAGAAAGGGAGCCAGTCTGCTTCTTGTAGTTAGCTGCGTTTCATCGTCTTCTTTATCCAGGATAGGAAACTTGAGACTCTGGTGTAGACCCGCGGAGGTGAACCATCTCCTTTCCCATAGGAGACGATGCCTGCGGCCACTTTGTTGCACACGAGAGGCCCTCCAGAATCCCCCTGTGAATTGATGGGAACACTTGAACTGCACTGTTGTTCACCATAATCCCAACTCATGTCAAGGCTTCTCTCAGAGAAGCATGCCTCACACACTCTGCCTGTGGGAGGCCAGAGGGCAGGCCTGGGGCCCCTGGGCTTCCCAGCTCTGACTGTGGACATGGACTTCACCTCCCTCCTGAGGCCAGCCTCTGCCCTTCCCCCAGGTCTGTGATCCACTCTCAATGAAGGTGTGTGGGACCCTCATCACCTGGTTGTGGCTAGGACACACTCCGGGAGCACAGCTTTGCAAAGCCTGGGCCTGGAAGGCAGGTGTTGTGTGTCACACACCCTTTTTTATACAAGCTGCCTTCAGCAGAGGCTCCTTGTCAGCTCAGGATGCCCTAGGCAGTTCCTGGTTCCTGCTGTTCCCAGGGAGAAAGATCTCAGCCAGTGGGCAAAGGAGTCCCTTGGGTTTGGTCTCTAGGTCCCAGATTCCTTTTCTCCTCCCACTGAGCCCAGAGTGGAGAGCAATCCCACTTACCCTAAAGGAAGCATTCTTGATTTTTGGGTCCCCTGCACATATCTCAATGGTTTTCTCGTAAGAATCTGGAAAGCGGGACTCACACTCCTGATCCTTCTGTACTGTCAGCTCCACCTCTCGTAGTGTCTCTGATGCTTTGCCCTTTGGCTCTGTCCATCCCCAACCAGCCACAGAGCACACATCCCTGGGCTTCACATGGGCATTGCACCTGGGCAGGTTGAGGGGATTCACCTCTCTAGTCATCTTGGCCTTTCTCTTCAGCTGTTGGGCAGAAGAAAGAGTCTACTCATGGCCTGATGGGCTGAGACACTTTGAAAGGAAAGGTGTAAGCGATGCTAAGAGAGGAAGGATAACAGAAGTGAAAATCCCTAACCAAGAGCAAGGTCTCACCTTTAACAGCATGATATCATTGTAGAAGACCTTAGAATTATAGTCCGGGTGGGGAATGGCTTTTTCCACAGGGATGACCTGCTGCGTCTTCTCATGTTTCTTGATGTTGTGGGCCCCCAGCACGACTGTCATTTTGCTGTGCAGAGAGCAGAGTGGACTTGAGAGATGTGGATTCAGAAAGAATGCCCCTCAGGCAGAGTAGGCAGGTGGGGCTCTAGCTGAGGGGACTTCAGGACACAGAAAGGCCTCGGTGTCTGACCTACTGCTCTCTGCTTCTCAAGGACATGAGACTCCTAAAGCCTCCCTCTTGCTTCTAGGCAAAATTCCAACGTTTGCATTGATGCTAAATGTGAACTGTCATGTCAGCCACTGCTTTAGTTTGGCCAGTGCAGGTGATCAGCTCAAGGGTGCTGCTGGCTCTGCCCTCTCACCCTTTCACCTCAAATTTCTCTCTTCTCAGACTTCCATTTTCACAGCCCTGCCTTCTAGTGAGCTCTCAGGGGAGCCCCCACAATGAAGGACAGAAGATCCTGTGGGTGTCACAGAAAATGTGGGGGAGCTGTTTCCTCACCTTCCCCTGCAGTGAGCAGCTGTCAGCACGAAGTTGTTTTGAACCAGGAAGCCTCCGCAGGTTGTGTTGCCCCCATTATCTCTCAGAGATGTAACATGTGCCATGTAGGGGCGCGAGTAGGGTGTGACCTCGTGGCCTCCAATGATCTTCTCTGAAAGAAAAGGCTAGAATATGGGGTGTTTGGGAGCAGCAGATAAAGTCAAGAGGGAAGATCTATGAAGGGGGTGATTGAGGATGGGATCTAGAGTCCCCAAGGCTGTCGCAGACAGGATTCCACACATGTAATAATCTTTGCTGAATCTTGAGCCTCAGAGTCCTGCTCTGAGAAGGGGTGGGCAGTATTGTCCTCTAGGCCCTGCTTTACAAATACATGGAGAAATAAGCTCTGTCTTCATCATGCTGGGGGCTGAGGGACCCTGGGTGACATGCTGTTGGTTTTCCTTGGGTAGAGAGTCCCCCTCACCCCTCTAATCTTGATTGGTGTCATTTCCTCACTTTATACCCACAAGCCCTGTGGAAGTGGATTTTCTAACGTTACCCTACTTTGGTGTCCAACACATCTTGGGCTCTCAGTAAAGGCCTTTGGCTGCATGGCTGAGTGACTTCTGGTTATCCAGAGAGCGGGTGGTGCAGGGCTGTGGGGATTCAGAGGCTGGGGGACATTGGAGCAGTGTGCCAGGAGGGATGGAACAGCTGGGGACTTACAGGAAGAGGTGGAGAGGTACCTACAGCTCGACTGCAGAGCTAGCGCAGTGTGCAGGGCAGGCTTCTAGGCACCCTGGGCTCTTTCTTCAGAAGGTTAATAAATGATGCTCATGTTCTTGAGCTGGGGGCCTCACCCGCTTGCATGCTGCTCCTTAAAGCTGCCCTTTCCCTGGGCTCAAGTAAGTTAGTGATGTAAATGTTGTATCTTTGCAGTCTCTGTCACATCTTTTTCTAAGGATGATCCAATCTCCAGGTGGTGAAGAAAAGCTGGGAGAAGCTAGTGCCCACTAAGCTTTCTGAGAGCACCTCCCTTCCTCAGACCCTGTAGCAATCTGGCCAGTGTCAGATTCCCAAGTCTGGGTTTGGCATGGGACCTGAGCTTCAGAAAGCTGCTGGGTGCAGTCAGGACAATTCCTGACAACTGCTGGGCAGAAGGACAGCAGAGGGGTCATGGATGGCTGCTCTGGGACAGGGTTGTTCACTCACCTGCACCAGCTCCAAGTGGCAGGAGAAAGGTCAGGAGAATCAGGACTGGTGGCATCTTCCCAGAATGGCTGCTCAGGCAGAGGAGGGCAGAGGAGACCCAGCCCTGGGAAGGGGATGAAGCAGGTTTGTGCTCAGTGGGCTCACAGGCATTTTAAAGCTGTGCACCTCGGCTTCTGATTGGCGTCACTTTACTGAAGGACGTTTTCTGGTTTGGGTAAAGATGACACTGTCACCACATTGACCTCCTTTGAGCTAAGCTGGGATAATACCAAGCAGGTAGACAGTGTGGAGGCTGTGGCTGAGGAGGCCTGAGACCCCAGGAAGCCCACAGTGACCATACGGAGAGAAACAGTTGTTCTTTTCTAACACACACACCCCTTTGCATTCTGGTAAGATCTCTTTGGGTTTCTTTCTTTCTTTTCTTTTTTCTTTTTTCTTTTTTTTAATAATGCAGACAACTAATATACCATAATAACCAAAATTATAGCACTACAAATACATTCATACAGTTCCAAGGTACTCAGTGAGAGTTGCTACTGCACCATATATGGCCGGCCAGCATTGCAGTACATCATGTCACTAAGCTTTGGGGTGACTGATCACACTGTGGAACAATCTCTTTGAATAGTCTGATGAGTTAATCTTCAGTCACTCTGACTCTCCCGACTACTGCTGTAGGAAGTCACAGGGGAATCTCAAAGCAAACCTTTGCCCATCATGCAAGGATCAGGTGCCACACAGTTACATGTAATAACGAATCACAAAAGATAGGTATTAGGTATTGTCATTTATCTCCCGGGCAAGAGCTTCAGGATCAAACTTAATGGTCAGTAAGATTAGATCAGCATTGGCTTCTCCACCATGGACTCCAAGAGTATTTTCTACAGCTTTGCCCAGCACTTTCTATAGACAAACAAAGACCTTGTTCAGATCTTGAATGATAATTTAGTGGGGCAAATCTAGGCATGAGAGAGTCAGGGATGCAGCCTTTGAAAAGTCTGATCTTGATTGGAGGGAGCTGAGAACCTGAGCTGAGAGCACAAGATGGTGGAGCTGTGTGAGATCAGCTCTGAGTGAGACAGGCTGGCATTGCTGTGAGAATAGGGGTGTGTGTGAGGGGCGGGGCACATCCAGACAACCCAGGGACCCACCTGGGATCCTGATTTCCAGTCACAGCTTCAGGTCTTCTAGGTATTTTTGAATATTCCCCTTTCATACTTTGGGTCCAATGGTGGCTTTCTTGTCTTAGTTGTGATCTGAAGTCCTGATATTAATTGGATCAAAATTAACCATCTAGTCCACGGATATATAACCTTTTCTCTTTTCTGGGTCACACTAAGGGATAACTTACTTCAAATTACTTTCCCAAGCTAAAATGAAAATTAATTCCTTCTGAAAAGGGACTGTACATAAATGACACCATATTTGCACATACAGATATGCTACAAAACCCTTACAGAATTAACTAATCTTAATACTTAAAGAGAATCTACAAACTCGTGAAGCAGGCTCCATATTTGTGATATACAATAAATAAATTCAACATATATAAGTAGTAACATTTATTTTGCTATGCTTTTATCACAAAAGTAAAGGAGCGCAACATGAATTAGGGTAGATATTCAACAATATATTCAACAGTGCTTTTCAGAAAGGAATGTTTCACTCCTTGGCTTGAGAGACATAGCTTTGATCTCATGAATACCTAAGGTGCTGTTGAGATATTTTGGATCTAATTTTACTGTTAATGTTTTTAACAACTTAATTGAAAAAAAAGTAAAATATAATTATATCATCACTCCCATTATCCATCTTACTCCTCCCGTGCCTTTCCTCCTCTTCAGATTCATGGCCTCTCATCCTTTAATTATCATTCTCTCTCACACATACAAGGGAGTAAAAATACAAATCCAACCTACAGAGTCTGTTTATTATTGCTCGAACACATATTTCTTTCAGGCCTGACAACTTGGGATTGTTTTAGTGCCATTTTGTTTATTTGTTTTATTTGGGTTTTTATATCTACCACCCTTCTCTATCCCAATTCCTTCCAACACCCCAGTACCACATGGGAGAGACAAGGTTAGTGGAGAGAGGGGACAGTTGAGATCTTTTTAGGCTTCTTCCTGCTAGTTAGGGTCGTTGGGTTTGGGGGGACAATCCAATCTTAGTGAAGATATCTCCAACTTCTTCTTGTCAAACTTTGACAACAGCAACCAGGAACAGTAGAGGGAGAACAGAAGCCTCCTCCTCCTCCTCCTCCTCCTCCTCCTCCTCCTTCTGCTCCTCCTCCTTCCTCCTCCTCCTTTAATTTCTTTCTTTCTTTCTTTCTTTCTTTCTTTCTTTCTTTCTTTCTTTCTTTCTTTCTCTCTCTTTCTTTTTCTTCTTCTTCTTCTTCTTCTTCTTCTTCTTCTTCTTCTTCTTCTTCTTCTTCTTCTTCTTTTCTTCTTCTTCTTCTTGCCCCCAGTGTTCTCTGGGCTCTGGCATTTATATCCTCTCAAGAGTTCCCAGAATGAAACTATCTGCAACTGGCACAAATCACAGTCCTGCTAGTGCACAGCACAACCATAGTTACAGACAAACAGCTGTGGACAAACTGAAGCAGCCTCAGACCCTACACTAAAACATATTCACATAACATAACTGTTTTCTAAAGAAAACAGAAATTTTAATAAGTTTCCCTCTTTTCATCCAAAAAATTCTTTTTCTCTAACATTAAAAAACTATTTGCAACAAGAACGATTAAGAGAATAATCAGGTAAGAATTACATTCACAATGTCCAGTCCATTTTCTATTTGGCAACTTTGGAGAAAGCATTCTACTATCTATCCTCTCTTGGAGAGTCCACAGTTCTGTACCTCAACCACTTTCTTATAATAATTTGCATTTTTCAACCTAATGTTTGAGGTTTAGACCCTGAAACACTTTCTTAGATCATAAACAACTTAACCTTTTATGTCTTTAAAAGGTTAAGTTGTTTATATCTTAATAAGGAAAATTGTGAGACTATAACTATCTAGTCTCTAGCCCTATCAGAGACCTGTAAGGATAACTATGACTTGAGAAAACATGATGTACAGAGCAAGCCTCTTCCAATGCTATAGAAAAGACAGAGGTTTCTGGCTGTCTCTGTGTCATTGGGGCAGTCAATCTTTAGCCCACAGGTCCAGAATATCTGACTGTATTTATATCCTTATCTGTGAAGCAGGAATATTGAAGGACTGGTCTACCTTATCTCTGCAAAGTTGGACAGTCAATTTCCCTGTGTCCTGCTTGTCAAGGGTTTGGACAGCATGCTGTCATCAGTCGAGGGAAAAGCAGTGGCTAACTTTGTCACGTTTGAAGCAAACTCCAAGTGAAGGTTCTTCGATGACCATCACCTTCTTTGAAGCAGATGACTGTCACCTTCTTTGAAGCAGATTGGGAGGTGCTGCCAGGAGCAGATGTGTCTCTCTGTCAGAAAAGCCTTTTATTATTAAAACATTTTACATGCTGTGTTCCGTAGATCTCAGAAGTGTTTGAAGACAGTCTGTCTATCTGTAGTATACCTGAATGGACAAATGTTGCTTGTTTCTAGCTATGTACTATCTGCTTAACCTGAAAACATGTGCTAGAGACTAAACAAAGCTTATTTCTGTAATTAGCTAGACTGGTACCTAACAAGACTACAAGTAATATTACTTGTAGGTGACTAACTACTAATTTGTGTTTCTAATTTTCCTAAACAGTTTGCAATAGTAGCTTTCATAAGACTAGGACTTTACATTGTTAAATGACTTGCATATGTACAAATACATTGAGCAAGAGTTGAACAAAAAAAGTCTAGAAGTTCTGTCAATATACAATATCCATACCAATGTAAAATTATTTGAGGCCTGTTGCTTCCTTAGGAGATACAATAATCCACCTTTTATCTTATCATGATCTCTTTCTTTCTTTCTTTCAGAATATTTTAAAGAGATACAATAATCTACCCTTTTTTTTTTTTTTTGTCCTTGTATCTTTATTGTCTCTGAAGGCAAAGGACCATGAAAGTCAGTGTTGATTTTGTAACATTGAACTTTTGGGGATAGAGCAAGAGGTTTATCTGTGGCTAGATCTAAGGCCTCACTGCTTTCAGTAGTGTGCATGAGATCAGCAATACTTAGTTGTGGTTTTTCTGCCTGCTTGTTAGGTCCTGGGTGACCAAAGGAAAATGCTAATATTCTTTGTTTCAGGGCCTCAAGCTGACAGGACCCTTCGTTCATTTTCCGAGGGCAAGAGGTTACCTCCTTTGCCTCTTTTGGAGCTGCATTCGTTAGTCCAATGCTGTCCTTTACCACATTGTCCAAAACTCCCAGAACGCTTTGGGATTTCATTGCTGCCAGAAACTGCTTGTTTGCTTCTATGACTGAAAGTACCCTATTCCTCAGAGTTAACACACCTGTCATTTTGAGCTCTGAGGCTTTTAGCCTTACAATTTCTTTGTAAATGGCTGAATTAAAGCACCTGGCATTTTGAGATCTGAGACCTTTGGCAGCTACTGGGAAATCTTATGGTAGTAATCTTGTAACCCCAGGCTGCCCCTCTGGTGGTGCAGTTGGCTCCAGATTACCCCCCACCACCACCACCTTTTTTTTAACAGGCGGTTTTTCTTTAATCGTGTTGCCTTGTGTAGCCTCCTAGTCATCCTGGCCTCACTGGGCTCCCTGCTCCACCCAGGTGCTGCAAGGTCTTAAAACCAAAAGGGTCTGCCAGCTGGAGCCTGCCTTCTAGCCTGGTTTGCTTCCCTGTTTTATCCTTCGTGAGCCTCCAGCTCTCAGTCACCAGGCCTGACTCTTGGTGTTCTCCTCTATCCAGCAGTTTTTGCTCTCTGACCTTTTCAGCCACTACCTACAAACTCTCCAGCTGCATCTTAGATCCCTCCATATTCACTCAGCATTTTTCTAATTGTTCAGCTACTCTCCTAACCGTTTTGAAACGGAATGTCTGAAGAAGAAAAAGCAAAAACAGAAAATCCCCTCTGGGAGCAAAACAGGAGAGAACCCAGCAACAGCAGCCTCAGTCCAGTTCTTGTTGAGGTCCTAAGACAGAGCATCCCTTCCTTCCTCTGATGCCACTTCATTAGAAACCAAGTTTCCCATTTTGCTTTGCCCCATGTCTGGGTGTCACTTGTTGACACTTGTTTGAGGGGGGTGTATTTTATTTGGGTTCTTATACCTCTATCTATTTTCCCACCCTACCCATCCTAATCCCTTCCAACCTCCCCACACTAGGTAGGAGAGACAGAAGGTTAGAGGGGAAAAAGAGGTGTGGATCTCTATAGGCTATTTCCTGTTGTTTGGGACAAGGCCAGTCTTCATAGTCAAGAGATCTCTAACTTCTTCTCATCAAACTGCAACAACAGCAAAAATCATGCTCCTACCAGTGAGAAGACAGTCACAGTTGACTGCCGTGGGCAAGCTGAAGCGGTCCCGTATCCCACACCTGGGATTAAAACAAAAACACAGTCACATAACATAACTGGGATTTTTAAGGGAAACCAAAATTCTCACTACAGGACTGGATAATGATTACGGGGCTCATCCGTGGGGAAGGCTAATTCTCGCTCCCTCAGCAGTTTATAACTGCTTCACCGCAATAGCCCCTGGTTATCTCCACGTCCACTTTGGAAGGTCAACTCGTCTTCTCATTGTTCAGGTCTTGTTTAAGTAGTCACATTGTTGAGATTTCGTGTGTGTAGTTTCCTTGTCATACCTAGAGGACGTAGATAGAAGATTTTTAAAATTTTGATTGTGTGCACGTGTCTGCTCTTGGGCACGTGCATATGAGTACAGGTGCCCTTGGACATCAGAGGAGCTGAAGTGATGCTCTTCACCGTGGCTGCTCAGAACTGACTTTGGGTCCTCCGCAAGAGTGATGTGTGTTGTTAAGGTGTTTGAGCCACCTCTGCAGTTCTGCATGCTCAGTTCTTAAAACTAGTTGCTTACAAATCTAGGCGCTGTGTAAAAATGGAGGCTTGAGTACTGTTTGATTGTAAAGTGTGAACTTATGTCTCTGAGAAGGACATATAAAAAACCCTGTATAGAGCATGAAGAGACATGATCAAAATGTTTTTAGTTTGAATGAAGGATTGCACTTCTGTGCACTCCATTGAAAAACCAGCGGGTACCACATATATAATGACTAAAAATGGATTTTGATTGTATGAAAATATTCACATTATTTCTAGAAATCTTGAAATCTGTTTTTAAATTCTTGTGTCAGATGTAAATGCAAGGCTACACCATTGTTCACAAAATTGCACTGAGCTGTGTTGAAGTGCATACGATTATTTGCCTTAATTTGAGCTTATTACAGTTCAACCTACACCTTGTATAAGTAAAAACACACACCAAAATTAGACGTCTCTCTCTCTCTTTCTCTCCTTTTTCTCTCTTTTGAGACAGTGGGGAAGGAGGCTCCCTTTTCTTTTTGGAATGTCAGCTGAGGAAGAAGGTCAGCTGGGTACTTTCTCTGCCTCCATGAACGAGCAGGCTTTCACCCAGCATCTGGCTCCCAAGTCTATTGGTAAAATCGAACATTTGAGATTTTCCTTACAAAGCAATACTTGGTGCTCTCAAATGACCACATGGACAGAGAAATCATGCCACCTGTAAACAAACGGAGAAGTGATCAGATTTGGTAAGTTTTGTGGGAAGTCTTCAAGGAGAGAGTAAGGGATGAGAAACAGCATAATACAAGGTGCTAGGGCCCTGTATAGATGGCTTGAAGATAGAAAAGCTAAATGACTTAGCTGAAATTGGCTCAATACAGATGATTATTATCATTTTGGTATTTCATATCTTATTCTTAATATTAATAGCCTTTGTGGCTTTCTGTACCTTCTCAAAGAAAAATAAAGATTGAGAGATACAGAAAAAAGAAAAACATAAAAAGTGGATTGATAAGATACAGCCTTAGAAGAAAAATTAGAGACATAAATAAAAATGAAAAAAAAATACTCAAACACAGAGAGGGAATTTAGACAAGAATCTACTGAACCACTGCATGATGGAACTGGAAAGGCAGCTAATTTCCAGTGGGGACAAGAACAAAGAGCAGCTTTTGTGACTGCTGGCAAGCTCATCTCAGTGTATGGAAACCTGACCAATATTGAACCAGAATATAGCCTAATTACGGATATCAAATTTATTGGTGAATTGGCAACTGGGGGCTGTTCATAAAGCAAGAAGGAGTCCACCAACGTTTGACTGGTGGCTTCTATTGCAAATGCTCTCCATCTACGGAGAACAAACATTCTTCCCTTGAGAAACAAATCTGGACATTTTACAAGGCATGGAGAATCTGTACTCAGTCATTGCTGAACACCCTATGGTGGTAAGGGTGCGCCTTAAATGATGAACTGGATTTGTTTGAAGGCAGAGTTTCTCAAAGGCCTGGCCATGCAGGGAAGGCATTACAGCGGAACTAGTAACTAGCTGAATTCCTTCACGATCAGAATGTGGTAGCAAAGGAGTCCATGCCTTCCCTCACTGAGGAAACAGTTCAGTTGCCTATAATCTCCACCCCTAAACTCTCACCCCCTCCCCCAAAAGAGACACCTACCAAACCATGGGGACCAACGGAATGGTCACAACATTTGAGTTACTAATGGTTCATCAATTACTGATGGAATCAAAACTGATGGAAAATGTCAGCGTATAGACCGGGGAATGAAATGGTCAATACTGAGGAAGGGAAGAAAAAGGAAAATCTCTATCTTCTTTCAATTCATGCTGCCTGTGCAGTGGTATTATTACATTGTGGAAAGAATCTCTTGTGGATTTAACACTTGTCAATTAAAAAGCCTATGGCCTATGGCTGAGACAGGCTTCTGCCAGCAACCAGCAGGCAGAGGAGAGTTTGGGATAGAGCCAGATGCCAGAGATTCAGTCACCAAGATGTGAGGAAGATGGACACATGGTGCTTGAGCTCAGGTAACCAGCCACATGACAAAGTGGGTTATTTTAAGTTATTAGTTAGTCAGAGAAGAGCGTAGCTATATGGCCTAGGTGTTTGTATAATATTTATTGAGTCTCAGGAGTCATTCCTGGAGCTTGGGGTCAGGAGGAAAACCTCCTCCTACAACATATGGCAATCCATTGGAACACAGAATCAAAACTAACCTGAGATAAGTCCTGGGAAGAGGCACAAAGTCTCCCCCAAATCAAACACCTTCTAGGCTCTGACTCCCTAAGAAAAGAGGCCTGGCGTCTTTAAAAGTGAGGGAAACAGACCAGAGTAGAGCCTCAGGCACACTCTCAAGGTCAAAAGCTTTCCAGAACAGCATCTTGAAATGAGCGTGGGAAAAGCGTCTGAGAAAGAGGTTTTTCTAGTCAAAGTGCAGGAAACCACAGAGAAGCAGAGCTGAATGCGGCTTTTAAAAAACAAGTCCCCTGCTTATTAAAAAAAAAAAAAAGCTGCTGCTAGAGAGAAAGGGGCCTATGAACAGATGACTCAGCAGGTGGTTGTTGGAGCTGTGTAGCCACCTCTCAGGAGGTCCAGGCACTCACAGCAGGTCACCATAGTTTTCCGGGCCAGCCACTGAAGCAACCCATAGCAGACAACCACTGAGAAGCAAGAAGGGCTCACAACACAGCGCGACCACTCCTTCCTGTCTGGTTGGTCATGGCGTGAGGCTTTGCCCTTTAAGGCTTGACCAATGTGGTGGAGAAAGAAGGGACCATCAGTCAAACCTCTAGCATGGGATAAATTGTTTAAAAACTCATACTTTCAAGCTATAAATAAAAAAATATATGTATAAATAAATAAACTGAACTTAGTAAAAAAAATAATAAAAACTATTAAAATAAGTATTCATCCAGAGACTTAGATTTAAATAAATAAATTCAATATTAAAAGATGGACGGCACTGTAAAAGAGGGCATTCTGACCCAATATGAATTTGTTTTGACTATCAACATACAAATAATAATATGTTCAGTAATAAGTATATATATTCTTTTTAAGAAAGATTAAATTAAAACAGACTTTAAGAAGGAGGAGACTGAGAAATGGATTGGTAGATTGGAGACCCTAGAATGGAGAAAAAAAAGTTCCAGATAAGAAAAGTCCACAGGAGCTTGAGGAGTTAGAATGGCAAACCATCGCGATACAGTATATTGAATTTAAAAATCCAGATTTTTGTTTATTGATGCATATTCAGAATTCCGGTTGAGTTTTGGCCTTAAATTCTATAAGAGGGTGATTCAGAAATTGCACATTTATTAGAAATGTTTACTGTCTTGGAGGTGCCTTTGCAAATTGTGGCTGATGGTGCTTCAGCATGTTTATCCCTTGGAATGCAACAGTCTTCTGGACATTATGGCATGACACTTATGTTGTTGATAATAATATTTATTATTGATTTATCTTTTAGTTAAACAGTGGTTGTTCCTAAACCAGCTGTATACCCAAATCACCACACAGAGACTAGGATTTATCTAATTAACCTAGAGCACAATGCTGGGCAATAGTTACTCCATCCTAAACCTCCAAGCTCGCATAGTTTTCTCCCATTCAGATTTCACACATTATACTTGCTTTTAGTCATATCTTAGGTCCAGTTCTTCTCCCTCATGGTTCCAAGTCCTCTCCTGTGGCCTCTGCTCTCCTACTCCTCTTCCTTGCTTCTTTCTCCTCCTCTCTGGAGCAGAATGTCCCACCCTATTCTTTCCATTGCTCAGCATTGGCTGGTTGTTTTATTGAAATTACAAAGAACAAATGGTGGTATGTTTATACAAACTTGAATCAGAATAAGTATCACAATGCAATGTCCAGATTGAAACCAGATAGTGGGGGAGAGAAATCAGCATTTGAATAGACAAGAGTAAATTGTATCCATTCCACAAGACCATTATACCAACACACTTATTACAGATATATCTTGCAGTTCTACAGGACAAGCAATTATAAAAAGTTACAACAGTAATATAAAGAATATGCTCATAGAACAGAAGAGGAAAAAAGAATATCCCAGGAATAGCACAACTGTTAAAAAAAACACTGGAATTTAGAAAGGACTTCTGTATTAGATCAGCATATAAAGGTCCTAATTCCAAAATGGAAGAAAGGAGATATGTTGTGTTGGGGAGAAGAGAAATTGTGAACTCCATCCAAACTGATAAATATTGGATTTGACAGAGCCCCCCACCCCCGCCCCCTAGATCTTGGCTACACACAAGAAGAAACAAATCAAGACCCAAGCAGGTAATGTATATGATAGTTGCTCTACAGGAACAACTCTAAGACTGAGATGGAAATGTCTATGCATGACCAGTAAATCTTGTTGGCTACAAAATACTCAGGTCTTATGCCATTCTTTTAAGTGGCATAGATTGGTATTACATTTTGGTATGAATTCAGACAGGCTTTAAGAAAGACAGGTCTTTCACGTGCTCATAAAAAGAACAAAAAATCATCTTTAATTGATCTGTGCACCTTGCATATCTCATGCATATGCTAATTTCAGAACTGTATATTATTTGTAAGAGCTAATATGTTTACAGAAAAAGAGGATCAAACACCAGAAGTTGGATCAGACCTGACAAGATTTATCCAGAAGGATGCTGAGACACATTCATTCCAGAATCCTGCATAATCAAGCCTCAAACTGCTTCAGTTGCTGTTTCGTCAAAACTTGCTTCCAAGATCACGTCAAAGCAGGTAGCTTAATTTGTCCAGAATCACAGAGTGTTCCAAAGAAAACTTCATTTAAGCCTGCATTTTCTCAGCATTTAGAGCCTGGGCAACAAATGTTACTGCTAGCTTGTTTAACCATTTTCCCCAGTTTCCCTTGGGCCCCCAAAAGGTATTCTATGCTCCAAATCATCAGGAAGCAATCAAAAGACAAACAATGTTCCATTCTCTTAGGTTGGGGTAGGTAGGTTTTGGTTG